TCCAGTCCCATTTCCTGAAGTCTGTTTCTGATGTTTTTTTGGGTATCATGTGATGCTTGAGCTCAGAACCTGAATATTAAACTAAGAAAATTAATTATGCTTATTAATGATGATCAAGACTTTTCTGATCACTCCTTAGCCAATCAAAAACCCGTTTGATGAACATTCTAGTCACCCCAAAAAATTGTTTAAAAGAATTGGGAGTATAATGAATATGCACATGCTAAGATAAATATAACCCACTGTCAATCATAGGATTAAGTAGTCTTCACTTTAAAATTCTTTCATTGAAAGATTTTGAATAAAAAAATTTTCAAAGCAAAAACTGGGGAAAATCGAGACTGCATTAACAGTTTATAAGCATTATATGTAAGGTGACTGCTTACTCACTCAAACCCACTGCTGTGGAGGCGATGCCAACTCCAGCAACCCTACAGCACACGGCAGAACTGCCCCAGCAGCTCTCCAGGATGGTAATTCTTTAAGAGAGGAGAAAGCCTTACTCCTGTAAAGTGGTTGGTGATTTCAAACTGCTGGCCTTGAGGTTAGCAGTCCAAAAAGTTACATCACCAGGGCTTCCAAATGTTTCAATTCATTTATACGTGAGTGTTGTTTTTTCCCCACCTCCCTCCCCGCAGTTATGTGTTTAATTTCCTGAATTGTTTTTGCTTTGTACTTTCAAGTATGTCTGTTGGTTATAAAAACTTCTAGAACTACAGAATACCTTTGGGTAATGATTGAAACATCAAGCTCAAGCTCACTGTAAAATTCGAAATAAGTACTGCAAGATGAAAAATGTTGTATTTAACCTTTGTCTTACTTGGGAAATGTGATGTTTTACACTTAGACCCTGTGCAACTCATACCACGTGGTTGGTTCGTAGCCTTTAATTCTGAATTAACAGTAGTGGAGCTAATGGACAACTAAAAATGTTTCAAAATACTCTTTAAATGATGCCGTTCCACTTTCCATCACAGTCAATCACATAGACCACAACCTGTTTGCCAACACAGAAGGGGAGACAAGGTGTGGTCTCCAAAGAGCAGCAGTTACATCTGACTATGGGAGGAGTAGAGCCCTGTAAAAGCACAATCGCATTTATTTCAGAAGGGACTTTTCATCTGTTATTTTAAAAATCTTATTTACAGTTTATAGTAAGAAGATAATTATGAAGCATAAAGCAATACAAAATGGCTAACGTATATTAAAAATAATAAACATTAATAAAACAAAAACATTATTCATAATTCACTGTATTTAACATTTTAAGGCCAAAATTTTAGTAAACAGTGATAAAAACTAAAGAATCCTTTTACTTACAGTTCTTAGAGAATTATCTAATGACTTCACAATGCCTTAACATGTAAATAACTTTTCTTTTGCTTAAAAATGTACAATTCCTGGAAGAGCATGACTTATTGGTTATGTTAATTTTGAAAAGGTCTTCAACAGAGAACTTTTTCTCCGGGTGTCAAGTTTTACTACATAGGATACTATCCAAGGGCTTCTCAGAAGGGGTCTTAACTCCCATACCACCACCAGCGACAGACAAAAACCATTACTGTGTTCTTACCAGTAAAGTCACTAGGCTATCAGTTGGTTGAGAAAACTATTTTATAATTACATAAATCCTTAGGAGTAAGCCAAAAA